CCATATTCTTGTGAAAGATATCCACGGCCATTTTCTCCCTGAACTCGCTAACAATATTGCCATTCATCTTGTACATCGGAGTGTTGGTGATGAGGTGCTCAATAAACATTAAGGACCATGCTCCACAACTACTAGATGTGTCATCTCGTGGAAGATTAAAGACCCTTTCAGGTATCCAATCATCGTTCAAGGATTCTTTAGGCAAGTGCATGAAAGGCCACATGATCGAAGGTATCTTGGAAACATTGTGCCAATGGGATACATAAATTCACCCAACTTTTCATCAGTGTACATATAGGTATTGCAGTCGTAAATAAGCATCTTTGACTCTTCAACAAGAAATACAACTGTAACATAATGGTTCTTCTCAATGTTGTATACATAGAAGATCCTCTTCGCACCATTCCAAGGTCGGCCACCACAGAAAGGCAACTCTCCTAGAGCATACTTTAGATCATCCTTATGAAATTGGTACTTATTCAAGATCATGGGAAGAGATAGAGCAGCATTCACCTTGTCCACCCCATCACACAATCTACTGTAGCGTTCCTTTAAGATACAAAGACAATTACAATCCAGGATGATATCTGCTTGATCATAATGCTTGGGATACCTTCTATGTCTAATACGCATAAGGGCCAAGAAATCCTCCCTGTGCTGCAGAATCAAAATAACTAAATTACTAATCCACATACTAGTATTAAACATCAAACATCCATAAAAATCAGTCACAAATCCATTAGGATATTTCAAACATCTCACAGGATGTTTCAAACATCTCACAGGATGTTTCAAACTTCTCACAGAACATCTTACACTGGAGCAAGTAGAGATACAGAAAATTTTGAACATTGAACTTACAAAGACTAATCTTATTGTGGATCAAACAATTCAGCAAACTATACACAATTAATCCTAGAGGATGTTTCAAACTGGGAAGTAAAAATCAAATCAAGATGAAAGGGTTACGATTATGTACCTTATCCTCCAACCAAAATTGAGAATCTTGAATATTCTTAAAGTCTTCATAATTGAACATCCCCCACGTGAATTGTATCTAAGGTCCCCTATTTTTGATAAATGACATTTCTCCTCTCCCAGTCAATCGATTTATAAATATCAACTTTCAGCCTCTCCTCACTGACTGCTTTGGAGGTTTCTTCCTTTCCAGTTTTCTTTCTCTTTTTGTTCCTTTTTTTTCCTTCAGTGTAAGGAGATTGAATAGCTCGGGAAAGAACCACAGGTCTCTTTTCTTGCTTTTTAACCAAATCATCCATTGTCGTCTGCAAATAGTTCAACTGACTCTGCATCGCTTCCCTCCACTTTGTTTGCTCTTCTTCCTTTTTCTTTTCCTTTTCCTGACAATTAGAGCATGTACAAGGACAGTGGATACTAGATGTACCTATAACAACACAATCTTTTATTTTATCACCCATTTTTTCCATAGAAGCATCTTCGCTGCTATCATCATAATTAGAACCCTCCCCTATCATTATCATCATTAAAGCGCATTCCACCATTACCACCATCGTCATCAACAACTTCTTCTCCCATTTTACCATCTCCACCAATAGATTTTTCTGCTTTATCATCATATCCTCCAACCACATGACTATCTCTAACTTGTGGGGTTTGCAAACTACCCTGCATGTGGAGGATGTTTCAAACATCCTGTGGATGTTTCAAAGATGTTTCAAACATCTAAATATTTCAAACATTAAACATCTGTCAAAATGAGCCTTACCGTACGATCTTTGATTTGAAATGGGTCAGGCCTATCTTTTTCTACTTTTTCAAATAGCCATCTCTTCATCCTCGGCAATGTCCTCTCTTTTGGATAGTCTTTTGGCCGTAATTGAGGTATAACTTCAAATGCCCAAGCTTACATTGTGTGATAAAAAGGTAAATAGAAAATTATATAAATAACACTAAAATAGAAGTAACGAACAAGATTTATTTAGTTATCATGAAAGCCCAAGGAAATCCGTAGAGGTTATACGAGTCACCCTTATATTGTTGACGCTCTTTCATATCATTCATAAGATAATCAACAGTCAACCGGAAACTATTTCGGCCCCATGGATAATTATAAAAAGCCTCTTCTGTGGAGGCCAATCTAACTGTAGTTTCAGATACACCACAATTCGAATCATTTGCCAATAAAATATAGTGGACAAACCAAATCAAGCATAATGCATACTTGTATTCTTGTATTTTTTGGATTTAGATTTGATCAACTCAAGCACCATTTTACCAGTCACAGACCTTTTTCCTTTGGAAATAAGTTTCCACAACTCTCTACCATCAAGAAGGTACTTTTGAAGCTTCGAATTCGTGTAAGAATGTCCACAATTGAGTCTAGTCATTATGGCGAACTCACGAAGGCCGAAGCAAACTGGTAATCTTTTATAATCAAACCATAACTCTTGGGTCTTCTCAGACAATACTCTACGGAGTAGAAGGCCATGCACTATAGATGCTTGAAATAGTGGCCTCTTAGGTAAATCCAAAAATGCCCGAAAGGACTATTCCTAAACTTGTTTTCGAGGCCTTCATCCTGCAACAACTTTCGGAACTCACCCATACCTGCTAATCCTAATGAGGATCTCACAGTGATCTTCTTGTTGAATGTCTCATTATCATCTAAAAATGTCTTGCACTTTAAGGGTGGAAGTTCCGATCGAAGCTTTACAATTTCAACCTCGCAATTGCCAGACTCATCCTCAGGCATCTCATCCTGTACCTCGCAATGTCGAACAATCATATTTAGTGAAACATCCTAGGAAATATTTCAAATATCTAGACATAAACTTCAAACATCCAGAGATGTTTGAAACGTATTAAGTTTACCTCAATAGATTGAGAATGTGCATTATCATTCTTTCTCTTTTTTCTTCTTTCTGTCGCTGCCTCTTCTTCTTCTTCTTCTTCTTCTTCTTCTTCTTCTTCAGTATTTGCTACTGATGCTTCATCATCAATATATGTCTCCTTTTCTCTTTCATCAATTGTTGTCTCCTCTTTTGATTCTTCTTCCTCAACATTTGTCTTTTCTTCTTTTACTTTCCTTTCTTCCTCTTTTTCTTCCTTTTCTATTTCCTGTTCTTTTTCCTTCTCAATTTCCTCTTCATTTTCGTTCTCTTTTTCTTCTTCTCCAACATTCCCTCCTTCTACTACCTGAAGAGGTTTGGCTTCCATTTCAGCTACAATTGATTTTTGTAGCTCATCCTCTTGAGATGTCTTAATTCTTTTGCTAGATCTTTTGGAAGGAGATTTATCTCTTCCTCTTCCACCTGTCTTTGACACACGTCCCTCCCTACGTCCCTTTGCCATTTTATCTGCGCAAAAAAAAAGTAACGACCACCAATAAAATTAATAAATAATTTGTTCCTATACATAAAAAAATAAAACTATAAATATTTAAGTAGTCTTTGGTGAAACATCTCAGTGAGATGTTTGAAGCCTCATATAAGATGTTTCAAACATCTCATTAGGATGTTTTAAGATGTTTGAAATATCTTAATGAGATGTTTGAAACATCTCTAAAGGTGTTGCATTGAATGGTCATACAAGATTGAGCTTAAGAGGCAAAATCAATTTTCTGCCATCTACAAATGCTAAGCAAGATGGTAAATTAAGTTTCTAGCTAGTTAGATGGAATTTGAAAACAAGCTAGCAATGTTCATATTATAGTTCTCCAAACTTCTTTATTTATACATCTCTTTCAATAATTTTTTTAATCGCTAAAATAATCAACCATCTCATTGTGATTATCAGGTATCTTTTGGTGAAACATCTCATGGATTGTTAAACATCCTTACAAATGTTTCAAACATCTTAATAAGATGTTTCAAACACTCAGCTCAAAATATCATTAACCAAACCCAGATAAACATTGCAATAAGTTCACAACACACAGGAACAACAATAACAACATGAATATTTAACAATATCTTAAGATTTTCAAACACTCAATTGGCATGTTTGAAACATCTGGACAAAAAAGCGTTCCACAAATCCAAAATAAAGCAATATAGCTGTTTCAACATCACAATAACTAATTTTATGGGTACGTGGAACAACCACATCAACGGCTACAATTAAAAAATATAAAAATACCAAATTTCCGCTCAAAAATATCAACTACACAACAACTCTAGAATTTATGCACAAAAACTACACAACAACAACAACAAGAAGATACAAAAACACCCAAAAAATCAACTTAGGGTTGAAATAACAAGCTTAGGGTTTATCAATATGGTAGAAAAAAGAAATAAAAAAACTTAACTTGATAATGGAATCTCTACTTCAAAGCAAATCTGAATGGAATGAAGCCGATTTTTGAAGCTCTATAGTACTCTTGAATTTGGAGATTGAATTTGAGAGAAAAATTGAAGAAGTTTGAGGGAAAATCACATGAGTAGTAACATCTGGTTTGGAAAAAGGAAGAGAGAGAAAGGTTTGAAAAGTGAGATTAAAAGATGGGTTTTGTTATTTTGTAATATTTTAAATTTTACCCCAAACTATTTTTATTTCTAATTTGACCCAAATCACCCCTAATCCTGCCTTTTTGTTAATGATAAAGGGTGTCCCAAATACTTCCACAACACTTCAAACGTCTTTTAGAACACATTTTTCCCGGTAGGGACTTCTGGGCCAAATTTGTTGAACAAGACTCATCCATTTAGGACTATTGAGGTGATTAAACACCGAAATAGATTATAGGAGAGTTATATTTGGGATCCAGGGGATATACCAGGCATGCCTATTGTTGAATGAAATGTTTGCTCCTCCTCATCTTCCTTCTACACTGTCTGTATCATCTGTTATGATTCTCAGATCAATATGAAGATTATTTGGGAGGAAAAAAACTCTATTTCACAAGAATAGAATTACAGAGAATTTACACCAAGAATTTCTCTCTAAAAAAAACTCACCAAACTCTCTTTTTGTTCTCACAATCTCTTCCAGGATTGTATTTCAATCTCTCTGGATTGATTTTTCTGTGTAAAACATAAGGCTCTATTTATAGCCTTAAAGAAGGTGGTTGATGGTTGAATTCTTCATTCAACAATAGAGGCTTCAACAATGGTGGCTTCTAGAATGGGTTGGTGGCTTCAACAATGGTGGGCTTCTAGAATTGGTAGTTGGCAGCAGCTGAACTTATCAATTCTCCCCCTTCAGCTGCATTCCAACACAGCTACTATTTGAAAGTTATTCCAACTATGTCTCTGCACAGCTCTAACTTTTCTTGAGTGACCACCTTTGTTAACATGTCTGCTGGAGTCTCCTTCGTATGNTTTATAGCCTTAAAGAAGGTGGTTGGTGGTTGAATTCTTCATTCAACAATGGAGGCTTCAACAATGGTGGCTTCTAGAATGGGTTGGTGGCTTCAACAATGGTGGGCTTCTAGAATTGGTAGTTGGCAGCAGCTGAACTTATCAATTCTCCCCCTTCAGCTGCATTCCAACGCAGCTACTATTTGAAAGTTATTCCAACTATGTCTCTGCACAGCTCTAACTTTTCTTGAGTGACCACCTTTGTTAACATGTCTGCTGGATTCTCCTTCGTATGGATCTTCACTAGTTTCAACAGTTGTTGATTCATCACCTCGCGTATCCAGTGATAGCGAATGTCGATGTGCTTTGTCCGAGAATGATACATTGAGTTTTTGCTTAAATCAATTGCACTTTGACTATCACAATGTATCTTATACTCTGTTTGATTTATCCCTAGTTCTTGGAGAAAACGCTTTAGCTATAACATTTCTTTTCCAACTTACGCTACAGCAATATACTCTGCTTCAGTTGTGGATAGTGCAACACACTTCTGCAATCTTGACTGCCATGACACAGCTCCCCCTGCAAAAGTATAAACATATCCTGAGGTTGATTTTCTTCCATCAGGATCTCCGGCCATATCTGAATCTGTATAGCCTTCCAAGACTGGATCAGCTCCCCCAAAGCACAGACTTGATTTTGAAGTACCTTTAAGATACCTGAAAATCCACTTAACTGCCTCCCAATGTTTCTTTCCAGGGTTAGAAAGAAAACGACTTACCACACCTACCGCATGTGCGATATCTGGCCTCGTGCAAACCATGGCATACATCAGGCTTCCAACTGCTGAAGAATATGGAATTGTAGACATCTCCTCAATCTCTTTCTTGGATGAGGGGCACAAACTCTTGCTCAACTTGAAGTGATTTGCCAAAGGGACACCTACCGGTTTGGCATTACTCATATTGAACCGTTTGATCACCCGTTCAATGTAATTTTCTTGAGATAGCCATAACTTCTTGTTTCTCCTATCTCGAGTTATCTGCAATCCCAAAATATGTTGAGCTGGACCTAAGTCTTTCATTTCAAAGGACTTAGAGAGTTCTTTCTTCAACTGTCTAATTTTTGTTGCATCTTGTCCGACGATCAACATGTCGTCTACATAAAGTAGAAGTACAACAAAATTGCCATCCGAAAATCTCTGAATGTAAACACACTTATCTGCAGCAGTCCTTTTATATCCTTGACTTACCATAAATGAGTCAAACTTTTTGTACAACTGCCTCGGTGCTTGCTTTAGGCCATATAAACTTTTCGTAAGCTTATAGACAAGGTTTTCTT